ATCACCCACCGGCGCTGCGAAACCTCGTCACAGCCATCTTCTCCTAGGGGGAATAATAGTGGGTGTTTGATGGCTGGTGTCCAGGAGGTGCAATGCTCAGACAAACTGTACAGAGAGAGCTGGATCTTGCAGGTCTGACTCAGGCTAAATCTCCCCTCCCATGAAGGTGAGCTGGGCAATGAACGCAAGACTCGGTCCTGAACAGAAAACTTGTGATTTGATCCTAGGAATCGCCTCCTCCTGATTAGTACTATGATTTTCATTATTAGCATGCCATCACCGTCGTCGCCGTTTATTATTGTTATTATTATTATTATGATTGTTATTATGATTGTTATTGTTATTATTGTTACCATTACTATTACTTTTATCCTTTCCCGGTCTCGGAAATGGGCTGTGTCCCTCCCTGCAGCTCGGTGTGCGTTATATACACGCACATACAGACCCCCCGCCCTAACAAAACGCTCGCAGGTTTTTTTCAGCCAGGTGGCTCCTATCGCGGAGCTCCAGGTCGCATCAAGTCAGTGAGGGTAATTAAAACAAAAAACAAAAAAACCAAACCAAAACCCACAATCAACAATCGCGCGGATTCGAGCCCTTGGCAGCCGTCAGGTCTGTTCAAGGTTGATCCCGGCCTCTGAGTCTGGAAGAAGGGTTTGGATCAGCAAAATAAAATTGAGTATACATATTCAATTCTATTTTGCTGGTCCAAACCCTTCTCCCAGATTCTCTCTATATAGAAACTAGCCCCACGCGAGGGTGCTTGGGCACCGTTTTGGGCTGGCGGGGAATTCAGGGGGATTACGGCTCTGAAATCCGCTTGGAGAATTCATTTACCGCCAGGGTTGGGTTTGCTCCGAGGGCCCGATCCTACCCGCCTGTTGCTCAGCCTCCGCCGCAGGACGTCCCTGGGCTCGGCTGGGAACGGGGAGCAGGACCCGGGCTTGCTTAGGTGCGAGCGGGCAGAGCCTGCCCGGGCCCAGGGCACCTTCCCTGGCAAGAGCCTGGGAGCTCCCCAAACGCATCTTCTCAGGCATCCCTGCGCCGGCCCGTCCCGGCCTCGGATCCCGAGTGCAATCTTGCACCAGGAGCCTCCTTTTAAAACCCACGTGAGTAGAAACCTTCTAGTTGTTTGGGGGATTTATTATTTTTTTAAACGCGGTTCTGCTGTTTGCAGCCGCCGCTGCTTTCAACCCGCCTGTTTCGGGAGGATGAGACTTGCAGCCCGAATCAACAGGCTTTTTATGCCGCCAGCTAATTAATTTATCACACATTTCGAAGGTCCCGCTTTTAACTGCCTGTGTATTGAGCAAAGCTTGGCCAGGGGAGAGGCAGGCAGAGAGACTGAGAGAGAGAGGAATAAAAGCAGCAAAGGCAGGGCTCGAAGACAGGGCGGTAATAAAACACATTGAAATGAAAACGGGGGCTAAGATCCTCTGGCCAAGTCCCTGCTTTACCCCCTAAAATTTGTTCTGGGTTGGTTCATAGCCAACTGATAAAAGGAGCTCATTCAGCTGGGAGGCTGTTGGAGGGGTTTCTTTTTAAAGAAATTATTTATTTTATTTTTTCTAATTTGCTAAAGGAATGAATGAAAACAGGGGTTTGATGAGGAGGTTTCAAAGGTGGAGGCGAAACAAGGCAAAAGGCCTTTCTTCCTCCCCGTCCTCACCAGCTGCAGGGTGGGGTGGGAGCGGGCTGCGGCAAGGGTCCTGCCCCCCTCGGGCTCGGGCACGTTGGGTCCTGGAGGGCTGAATTGACTCCAGGGCTCGCCATGGCAGAGGTGGAGGCAGCGGCCGGCTGGGGGAAAGGGGATCAGTGGGGATGGGGTAGGTCTGTGCCCCTCGCACAGGGGGTTTACAAGGAGGTCGGAGACCCCCCCCCAGTGCCATGGGCGAGAGCTGCCCGGAGCAGGCTGCGGGACCTTTGAAAGGGATTGGTCCCTGGCCCTGCCGCGGTGGGACCTGGCTGTGCTGTGCAGGGAGAGGGCTGCAGATCCCTTCCCGAGGCAGGGCAGGATTGAGCGTTGGGGTGCGAGTGACTCCCCGCAGGGTGCGGGCCGAGAGTGTGAGGCTGGACGTGGAGGGAGCAAGCCCGTGTAGTCCGCAGCGAGCTGAGTGTCGGGGTGATGGAGGCACATGGCCCCCCGCACGGAGTGCCGGGGTGATGAGGGCACGTCCACTCCAGACACGCCCGCCCCGGTGCCAGGGTGCGGGGCAGGGCCGGGCTCCCGGCGCGGGGAGGGGGCGGGGAGGATTGACAGGCAGTAATTGGGTAATCGGAGGCTGCCTCTCCCCAGCCAGGCGGCCCCAGTCACTGAGACGCCGGGGCTCTGACCGCC